TTCTGCCAAATGTCTGAGTTACCACTGAGTTGGAAGCTCTTCGCATGTTAATGTATCAAATCCAATTACAAAGGTAATAAATTCACAATGGACCCCACAAGTAATTTAAATTCAAATTCCAGTCCACATGATACCTGATCTTTGGTTATAAATTTTGGGGAATTTTTTTTTGTTGTTGTTTTAAATCCCAGGCTAGGTACCCTAGTTTTTTCTTCACCAATAGGTAGTAGTAGTAGTTATTTTAATCTTCTCTATTTAATAATCCTGGATTTCTCTCTATTTCCCCCTTTCTCTTTCTCTTCCTCTCTCTGACTCAGGACTTCCAGCTTTATACAAGACTGGTAACTTTTTCTGTCCCTGCGTGGCCAGTGAAATCTGAAATCTCTTTGTCATGAAATCTATTTGTCATGAAAAGCAGCAACCATCCCCACTGTTTCCTTAGCCAGAACAACTATGGTATGAACACCTTATTATGAGTCTGGGTTTACAAAGATTGTGGGCCTGGATATTTTCCTTACTTTCTTAAAAACTCAGGTATGTTTTAAAAAAAAAAGTTTGTTTTAGAGAGTAGAAAAGTAGTTGTCAAGGGCTGTGGGGTAGGGAAATAGGGAGAGGTTGGAAAAAAGGGTACAAGCTTTTGATGAAGGACAGTTGGAAGAAAGGCAGGCAGGGACAAGGCCCCTGCCCTAAAAGGTAACTGCTAAAAGGATTTTACACCACCCTGAGAAGAGCCCTCCACCCTTCCCCACTGACAGAAACATGATTGGATGACAGGTGCAGGGAGGTTAATCAGATTACAACAGTGAACCAACAAACCCATAGAAACCCCTAGACTAGAACCTCAGGTGGCATGCCTCTTGGGTCCGTCCTCTCCTTCTTTGGGAGCTCTATCATTGAATATACTTCACTATCGCTCAATAAAAATTTGTTTTGCTGCCCACCACAGTCTGCTCTACCTCTTCTTTCTCCGAAGCAGCCTGACCATGAACCTGGGGCATCATAGGAAAAGAAATCCTGTAACACTTTCAGCTATAAGATGTATAAGGTCTGAGGATCTGATGTAAACATAGTGATTATAGTTGATAACATTGTGTTCTATACCTGAAATTGGCTAAGAGAGTGGAACTCAAATGTTCTCACCAAAAATAATAAAGATAAATATGTGAGGTGATGGATATGTAAATTAACACATTAATTAACCTTAATTAAGGTGGATCCTTTCACTATGTATATGTATAACAAATCACAATGTACACTTAAAATATCCTGGATTTTGGTGTGCTTGGGTGGCTCAGTTGGTTAACTGTCTGCCTTTGGCTCAGGTCATGATCCCAGGGTTCTGGGATCAAGCCCCACATCAGGCTCCCTGCTCAGTGGGGGAGTCTGCTTCTTTCTCCCCCGGCTCTTGTGCACTCTGCTTCTCTCTCAAATAAATAAATAAAATCCTTAAAAAATATCTTGAATTTTATATGTCAATTAAGCTCAATAAAGCTGAAATTTAAAACAAATTTTAGGGGTGCCTGGGTGGCTCAGTCAGTTAAGTGTCTGCCTCCAGCTCAGGTCATGATCCTGAGGTCCTGGGATCGAGTCCCATGTTGGCCTCTCTGCTCATCGGTAAGTCTGCTTCTCCCTTTGCCTGTCACTTCCCCAGCTTTTGTGCATGCTCTCACTCTCTCTTTCAGAAGAATAAATAAAATCTTTAAGAATAAAATAAATAAATAATTTCTTAAAGAAAAATCTTTTTGGGTAAATACCTAGTAGTGCAGTTGCTGTGTTGTATGGTAGCTCTATTTTCAACTTTTTGAGGAACCTCCATGCTGTTTTCAGAGTGGCTGCATCAGCTTGCATTCCCACCAGCAGTGTAGGAGGGTTCTCCTTTCTCCACATCCATGGCAACACCTGTCATTTCCTTACTGGTTAATTTTAGCCATTCTGACTGGTGGGAGGTGGTACTTCATTGTGGTTTTGATTTGTATTTCCCTGATGCCAAGAGATACTGAGCATTTTTTCATGTGTCTGTTGGCCATTTGTATGTCTTTGTAAAAGTCTGTTCATGTCCTCTGCCCATTTCTTGATTAGATTATTTGTTCTTTGGGTGTTGAGTTTGATAAGTTCTTTATAGATTTTGGATACTAGCCCTTTATCTGTAAGTCATTTGCAAATATCTTCTCCCATTCTGTAGGTTGTCTTTTTCCTTTTTAAAAATATTTTATTTAATTTATTTGTCAGAGAGACAGAGAGAGAGAGAGAGAGCACAACAAGGGGGAACAGCAGGCAGAGGGAGAAACAGGCTCCCCACTGAGCAAGAAGCCCAATGTGAGACTCCATCCCAGGACCCTGGAATCATGACCTGAGCCAAAGGCAGACGCTTGGACGTCTGACTGAGCCACCCAAGCATCCTGGTTGTCTTCTGGTTTTGTTGACTATTGCCTTTGCTGTGCAAAATCTTTTTGTTTTAATGAAGTACCAATAGTTCATTTTTGCCTATGTTCACCTTGCCTTTGACAATGTGTCTAGCAAGAAGTTGCTGCAGCCCAGGCCACAGAGGTTTCTGTCTGTGTTCTCCTCTAGGATTTTGATGGATTCCTGTCTCACATTGAGGTCTGTCATCTATTTTGAGTCTATTTTTGTGTGTGGTGTAAGAAAATATTCCAGTGTCATTCTTCTGCATGTGGCTGTCTAATTTTCCCAACAGCATTTGTTGAAGAGACTGTCTTTTTTCCATTGGACATTCTTTCCTGCTTTGTCAAAGATTAGTTGACCATAGAGTTGTGGGTCCATTTCTGGGCTCTCTAATCTGTTCCAGTGATGTGTGTGTCTGTTTTTGTGCCAGGTTGATTACAGCTTTGTAATAGAGCTTGAAGTCCGGAATTGTGATGTCACCAGCTTTGGTTTTCTTTTTCAGCATTCCTCTGGCTATTTGGGGTCTTTTCTGGTTCCATACAAATTTTAGGATTATTTGTTCCATTTTCTGTGAAAAAAGTTGATGGTGTTTTGATAGGGATTGCACTGAATATGTAGATTGCTCTAGTAGCATAGACATTTTTACAATATTTGGTCTTCCAATCCATGAGCGTGGAACATTTTTTCCATTTCTTTGTGTCTTCCTCAATTTCTTTCATGAGAGTTCTATAGTTTTCTGAGTTCAGATCCTTTGCTTCCTTGGTTAGATTTATTCCTAGGTATCTTGTGGTTTTTGGTGCCATTATAAATGGGATCGACTCCTTAAGTTTCTCTTTCTTCTGTCTCATTGTTAGCATATAGACCCAGCAATTGCACTACTAGTATTTACCCCAAAGATACAAATGTGGTGATCCGAAAGGGCACGTACATCCCAATGTTTATGGCAGTAATGTCTACAATAGCCAACATATGGAAAGAGCCCAGCTGCCCACTGACAGATGAATAGATAAAGAAGATGTGGTACAGGGCACCTGGGTGGCTCACTTGGTTAAGCCACTGCTCAGGTCATGATCTGGGAGTCCTGGAATCAAGTCCCATATTGGGCTTCCCCTGCTCTACAGGGAGCCTACTTCTCCCTCTCCCTCTGCCTCTCCCACTGCTTGTACTCTCTCTCTCTGTGTCAAATAAATAAATAAAATCTTAAAAAAAAAAGAAGATGTGGTACACACACACACACACACACACATAAATAATATTATTCAGCCATCAGAAATGATGAATTCTTACCATTTACATCAATGTGGATGGAACTAGAGGGTATTACACTAAGTGAAATAAGTCAGTCAGAGAAAGACAATTATATGATCTCACTCTTATGTGGAATTTAAGAAACAAAACAGAGGCTCATAGGGGAAGGGAGGAAAAATAAAACAAGATGAAATCAGAAAGGGAGACAAACCATAAGAGACTCTTAACCAAAGGAAACAAACTGAGGGTTGCTGGAAGGGATGGAGGTGGGGGATGGAGTAACTGGGTGGTGGACATTAAGGAGGGCACATGAGTGGTGCCTGGGTGGCTCAGTTGGTTAAGCATCTGCCTTCAGCTCAGGTCATGATCCCAGGACCCTGGGACTGAGCTCTGAGTTGGGCTCCCTGCCTCCCGGTGGGGGGTCTGCTTTCCCCTCTCCCTCTGCGCCTCCTTGACTCTCATGCTGTCTCTCTCTAGCTGGCTTGCTCTCTCTCTCAGATAAATAAATAAAATCTTAAAAGAAAAAAAAAAAGGAGGGCACATGATGTAATGTGCAGTGAGTATTACATAAGACTAACGAATCACTGAACTCTACCTCTGAAACTAATAATATATTATATGTAAACTAATTGAATTTAAGTTAAAAAATAGATCTTTTTAGAAAGCTTTGTTTTAGCATTTACTCATGTTTTGTATCAAGAGGATTTGCAGGTTGCCTAGTCTATCATTTTTCCAGAAACAGAAGCCAAGATGGGCTCATTGATATTTCCTAGGAATCCGTTAACTTTAAAACAAGAATCTAGCTGGGGCACCTGGGTGGCTCAGTGGGCTAAGCCTCTGCCTTTGGTTCAGGTCATGATCTCAGGGTCCTGGGATCAAGTCCTGCATTAGGCTCTCTGCTCAGCAGGGAGCCTGCTTCTCCCTCTCTCTGCCTGACTCTCTGCCTACTGTGATCTCTCTCTCTGTCAAATAAATAAATAAATAAAATTATTTTAAAAAAGAATCTAGTTAAATTCAGCAAGCAGTCATTGAATGCCTTCTATGTAGCAGCTACTATTTAGGGAAATCACTCATTTGCTAACAGAAACCACTTTCAGTCTGAAAATAAATCTGCCTATCTTCTGCCCCATCCTTCTGTGACAATCAGTTGCAAAGATCCCATTATAACAAAAGCATCATTAGATAAATTCTAGTAGTTTAGATAAAATTCCAGCACTTAAATCCCAGCCAGAACAATATGGATTACCTTATCATCGTTAACAACAACAACAACAAAAAAGGCAAGTGGCAGAGTTGCACGCAAATTCACTTAATTTTCAAGATTGTGTATTTCTCTTCTTTGTGTTTAGATTTTCGCCTACCTCACTTTAAGAGATATAATAATATGTGGTCAAGTTTGTCACTCCTGGATGCTGATGACACAAGGAAGCTCATTATGGAATAGTGTGAGTAGACACTTGAAGCTGTGTTTTTATTGTAGTTCTTAAAGGAGAACAGCCTGCTATAAAGCCAACTGGCCTAGGGACTACTTTTTTCCCTGCTCCCGCACATTGGGCCACAGAAAGTAGGTGCATTTGTTTTTCTTTTGCCCAGGCACAAGCCCAAAGGACAACACAGAAAGATAACAATGTTATTTTTAAGACAGATACTATCAGTATTTTCTAATTTACATGGTAGAAATAAATCAAATATTCTTTTTGGATGGAAACATAGCTCCATTATATCTGAGTTAGATTAAACATTGTCTAACTCGGGGTGCTGCTGAGATAAATTGAGGAAATGTAAGTGAAGTGCTTACTATGGAACCTGGCACGCAAGCAGCACTCAATAAATATTAGCTGCTATTATTGGTTCACAAAACATAACAAAGTAGCACAAAATATGGAGTAAAAGAAAAAAAAACTGAGCATGAAATGGGGCTAAACTATACAACATTAAACAAGGCTTGTTTGATATTCTTAGGGTGTCTGCATGTACACAGACACACATACACTCTGGCATTTTCTAATATGGGCTTCTAGGCTGGTACCTCTTTACTATTTTTGTCATTGTACTATTTTTATACTATTCTTGTACCCTAGAATTTCTCAATTCAATGAGACGCTGGGGAGAGGTCTCAGCCAACCACAAAAAACAAGCATACATTTTCCTTGTTGACTTCTCTTTTCTGTTCCTTGGATGATACTTTAATCTCTGTAGTCATTTGTGCCATCAACCAATGTTGCGGTGGCAACAGTTTCCCTGTTTCCTAATGTTCCATCAGTAACTGACTTTACCACCCCTCCTTAATAGCCAATGGTTAGAGGAATAATGACATCACGTGCTCAGACTGACCTATGAGTAGATGGCTGGAACCATTCAACAAAAATTCCAAAATTTAGACAAAGAAACTAAGGTGCCATTCATAAATCAAGTCAACATCTTGATGTTCCGTTCTTGGCTTTACTATTCCACACTCACCTTGAGCAACAATGGCAAGAAGAAAACGTGCTTCTGTCTCAGCTAACCCATCTTGGCTTCCAAATGTAGTATGCCTGCCTTAAGTTTATTTTTCGTTTAAGGCAGTGATACTCAAACTTCAGAATGCATCCGAATCATCTGAAGGGGTTGTTAAAACAGATTGCTGATTGCCAAACCTAGAATTTCTGACTCAGTAGGTTGGGGGTGGGGCTTGAGAGTTTGTATTTCTAACAAGTTCCTGGGTGATATTGATGCCACAGTTCCCAGAACCATACTTTGAGAATCACTGGTTTAAAGTAATAAATCTCTTTCTTATGTGACAGATTGAGGATGTTATTTTTTGCTTTGGAAAACCTGTAAGAATAAAAAAATGAATCCAAGTGATCAGAAAGAGAAAGGTCATGTACAATATTAAGATCAGAACAAATCCTACAGAAGCCTTGCAGGAAAAGCTAGCACTTTTGCCCAGAGACCTCACTAGGTAAAGCTGGAGAAAATATGAGCACATGTCAGTGAAAAACAAAGCCTGGATAGGAAGTTAAGTTTCTTTATGTTCAGCAAATTTCCCTCTCCACAATTCTTCATTGTTCTTCATCTTCTATTAGTTTTACCTTCATTTGTGAGTGCTCAAATATGGCACAACCATAACGAACATTTTAGCACAAAGAATATCTTTGTTCAGATGGTAATGAGAGATTGGAAGTTCATAAACGTAATCTTTAATTTTTAATTTGTATACACACACACACACACAATACCAATCCATGGGAAAAGCCATACATATATATATATATACATATATATGTATGGTTTTGACATTGCTGCTATAAACTATAAATACTGGGGTGCAGGTGCCCTTTAGGATCACTACATTTATGTCTTTGGGGTAAATACCCAGTAGTACAATTGCTGGGTCGTAGCGTAGCTCTATTTTCAACTTTTTTTTTTTAAGATTTTATTTATTCACCTGACAGAAAGAGAGAGAGATCACAAGTAGGCAGAGAGGCAGGCAGAGAGAGGAGGGAGCAGCCTCACCGCCGAAGCAGAGAGCTCGATGTAGGGCTCGATCCCAGGACCCTGAGATCATGACCTGAGCCAAAGGCAGAGGCTTAACCCACTGAGCCACCCAGGCGCCCCTATTTTCAACTTTTTGAGGAATCTCCATATTGTTTTGCAGAGTGGCTACACAAGCTTGCATTTCCACCAATAGTGTAAGAGGGTTCCCCTTTCTCCACATCCTCGCCAACATCTATTGTTTCCTGACTTGTTAATTTTAGCCATTCTGACTGGTGTGAGGTGGTATCTCATATTGGTTTTGATTTGTATTTCCCTGATGCCGAGTGATGTGGAGCATTTTTTTCATGTTTCTGTAGGCCATCTGGATGTCTTCTTTGCAGAAATGTCTGTTCATGTTCTCTGCCCATTTCTTGATTGGGTTATTTGCTCTTTGGGTGTTGAGTTTGATAAGTTCTTTATAGATTTTGGATACTAGCCCTTTATCTGTAAGTCATTTGCAAATATCTTCTCCCATTCTGTCAGGTGTCTTTTGGTTTTGTTGACTGTTTCCTTTGCTGTGCAAAAGCTTTTTATTTTGATGAAGTCCCAATAGTTTATTTTTGCCCTTGCTTCTCTTGCCTTTGATAATGTTTCTAGGAAGAAGTTGCTGCAGCTGAGGTCAAAGAGGCTGCTGCCTGTGTTCTCTTCAAGGATTTTGATGGATTCCTGTCTCACATTGAGGTCTTTCATCCATTTTGAGTCAATTTTTGTGTATGGTTTAAGAAAATTGTCCAATGTCATTCTTCTGCATGTGCTGTCCAATTATCCCAACACCATTTATTGAAGAGACTGTCTTTTTTCCATTGGACGTTCTTTCCTGCTTTGTTGAAGTTTAGTTGACCATAGAGTTGAGGGCCCAGTTGTGGGCTCTCTATTCTGTTCTATTGATCTGTGTGTCTGTTTTTGTGCCAGTACCATACTGTCTTGATGATACAGCTTTGTAATAGATCTTGAAGTCTGCAATTGGGATGCCACCAGCTTAGGTTTTCTTTTCCAACATTTTCTGGCTATTCGGGGTCTTTTTTTTGTTCCATACAAATATTAGGATTATTTGTTCCATTTCAGTGAAAAAAGTTGATGGCATTTTGATAGGGATTGCACTGAATGTGTAAATTGTTCTAGGTAGCATAGACATTTTCACAATATTTGGTCTTCTAATCCATGAGCATGGAACGTTTATCCATTTCTTTGTGTCTTCCTCAATTTCTTTTATGAGTATTCTATAGTTTTCTGAGTATAGATTCTTTGTCTCTTTGGTTAAATTTATACCTAGCTACCTTATGGTTTTGGGTTCAATTGTAAATGGGACTGACTCCTTAATTTCTCTTTCTTCTGTCTTGTTGTTGGTGTATAGAAATGCAATGATTTCTGACATTGATTTTATATCCTGACACTTTACTGAATTCCTGTATGAGTTCTAGCAGTTTTGGGGTTGAGTTTTCTGGGTTTGCCACTTAAACTATCATATCATCTGCAAAGAGTGAGAGTTTGACTTCTTTGTCAATTTGGATGCCTTTTATTTCTTTTTGTTGTCTGATTGTGTATGGCGTAAGGAAATGGTCCAGTTTCATTTTTCCGCATGTTTCTGGTTCTATATAAATTTTAGGATTATTTGTTCCATTTCTTTGAAAAAAAAATGGAGGGCATTTTGATAGGAATTGCATTAAATGTGTAGATTGCTTTAGGTAGCATAGACATTTTCACAATATTTGTTCTTCCAATCCATGAGCATGGAACGTTTTTCCATTTCTTTGTGTCTTCCTCAATTTCTTTCCTGACTACTATATAGTTTTCTGAGTACAGATTCTTTGCCTTTTTGGTTAGGTTTATTCCTAGGTATCTTATGATTTTGGGTGCAGTTGTAAATGGGATTGACTCCTTAATTTCTCTTTCTTTTGTCTTGTTGTTGGTGTATAGAAATGCAACTGATTTCTGTACATTGATTTTATATCCTGACACTTTACTGAATTCCTGTACAAGTTCTAGGACATTTGGGGTGGAGTCTTTTGGGTTTTCACATAAAGTATCATATCATTTGCAAAGAGTGATAGTTTGACTTCTTCTTTGCTGATTTGGATGCCTTTAATTTCTTTTTGTTGTCTGATTGCTGAGGCTAGGACTTCTAGTACTATGTTGAATAGCAGTGGTGATAATGGACATCCCTGCCATGTTTCTGACCTTAGGGGAAAAGCTCTCAGTTTTTCTCACTGAGAATGATATTCTCTGTGGGTTTTTCACAGATGGCTTTTATGATTGGGGTATGTGCCCTCTATCCCTACACTGTGAAGAGTTTTGATCAAGAAAGGATGTTGTACTTTGTCAAATGCTTTTTCTGCATCTATTGAGAGTATCATATGGTTCTTCTCCTTTCTTTTATTAATGTATTGTATCACCTTGATTGATTTGTGGATATTGAGCCAACCTTACAGCCCAGGAATAAATCCCACTTGATTGTGGTGAATAATTCTTTTAATGCACTGTTGGATCTTATTAGCTTGTATCTTAATGAGAATTTTTGCATCCATGCTCATCAGGGACATTGGTCTGTAATTCTCCTTTTTGATGGGGTCTTTGTGTTGGGATCAAGGTAATGCTGGCCTCATAAAATGTGTTTGAAAGTTTTCCTTCCATTTCTGTTTTTTGGAACAGTTTCAGAAGAATAGGTGTTAATTCTTCTTCAAATGTTTGGTAGAATTCCCCTGGCCCTGGGGCTTGTTTGTTGGGAGATTTTCTTTCTTAAAAAGATTTTATTTATTTATTTGACAGACAGAGATCACAAGTAGGTAGAGAGGAAGGCAGAGAGAGAGGAGGAAGCAGGCTCTCCACTGAGCAGAGAGCCCAGGATCCTGGGATCATGACCTGAGCTGAAGGCAGAAGCTTTAACCCACTGAGCCACCCAGGCGCCCCTATTATTGTATTATTGTCGATGTGTTTTTTTGATTTTGTTATTAATTGGCTTATATAATTGGCTGCTATGTTACAGGCATAAATATTTACAATTGTTAGAGCTTCTTGTTGGATAGACCCTTTAAGTATGATATAGCTAGTTCTTTCTTATATTATATACAGTTATATTATATATAGATGTTATAGTTTTTGGTTTAAAATCTAATTTGTCTGATATAAGGAGTGCCATCCCAGCTTTTTTTTTTTTTTTTTTTTAATGTCCATTAACATGGTAAATGGTTTTCCACCCCCTTCATTTAAATCTGGGAGCATCTTTGGGTCTAAAATGAGTCTCCTGGAGACAGCATATTGTTGGGTTTGTTTTTTTTTTAATCCAATCTGATACCCTTTTGATTGAGGGATTTAGTCCACTTACATTTAGGGTAACTATAGAAAGATACGAATTTAGTGCTATTGAATTGCCTTAGGGTGACTGTTACTGTATATTGCCTGTGTTCCTTTCTGGTCTATGTTACTATTAGGTTCTCTCTTTGCTTAGAAGACACCTTTCAATATTTTTTGTAGGGCTGGTTTGGTAATTGCAAATTCTTTTAATTTCTTTTTGTCCTGGAAGCTTTTTATCTCTTATTATATTTTCAATGACAGCCTAGCTGGCTAGACTGCATATTTTTCTCATTTAGTACCCTGAATATATCATGCCAGTCCTTTCTGGCCTGCCAGGTCTTTGTGGATAGGCCTGCTGCCAATCTAATACTTCTACCATTGTAGGTTACAGACCTCTTGTCCTGAGCTACTTTCAGGATTTTCTCTTTGTTTCTGAGATTGGTAAATTTTTCTATTAGATGTTGGGGTATTGACTTATTTTTATTGATTTTGAGGGGAGTTCTTTGTGCCTCAATGTAATATCTTAGCTGAAAGACATGATTAATGTCTGAAAGACATGATTAATACTACGATATCAATGCTATTGTTTGTCAACCGGCCCCAGCCACTAGGAGCTCCCAGAAATCTCTGTGCTTTTCAATATTACATGCAATCAGCCAGGTACACTCAGGTCATCTCTCCTTTCCCCCAGACCTCCCTCCTCAAATTATGAGTTAGGAGAAGGCCACTCTAAACCTCTCACTCTAAATTGTCTTCCCCATAGTCAAGAACTTAACACATTGTCTATGCTCATGAATAGAGAAGGAGGCACCCATTATGGGTTCATTGACCCTGAAGTGCGGGGCTCTTGCCCTCCCAGCTGTTGACCTAGATTAGACATTTGGAATCTGTTTGTAATTAAACCTGGGAATGACCATGAACAACAACAAAAAAATCTGTTGGTAATTAAACTCCCAAATGACCATAAAAACAAAGAAATGAAGAAGTGAGAGATGTGCTGAAGACATTTGTTTCTTGATGCTTTTAAAATATTAAAATTTTTTGCATGCAAAAGATCTTTATCATTTCTTAATGTCTTTGGTTTACCCTTTTTAGATTGATTTTTCTGCAGTAAAAAATATAATAACAGATAAATATATAGCGTCAACTTTGCAAAGGTGGCGTCTAAATGTGCTGCGTTTGAATTTTCGTGGTTGTGTTCTCCGACTGAAAACCTTGAGATCTGTCAGTGAGTATGTTTATTACAGCTCTTTGTCTTGCTTCCCTATTTTTAACTGAACAAATATAAAGAAAAATATAAATGAAATAGAAGCTGCAGTTATAGTCATAGGCCATAAGAATGCCAATTATAAACATTTAAAATGCTTATAATACAGTCAGCTCTTACTGGATTTTATGCTCTGGGAATTGGTGCTTTGTCCATTCTTATAGACTGCTTTTTTTGTCTAGCATTTGTCTACGAATCCTCAATTCATCTTCTTAAAAAAATACAAGAATATATTCTCAATTTAAAAATTCTAAAAATAGACAGTAAAAGGAAAAACTTCCCTTTATCTCCCTCAAACCTATTCACTTACTCAAAGGTACTCAATGTTAACCAATTTTCTGTTTTTCTAAAATACATTTACATACATGTTATTAAAAATACACAATTAAAAATTTTAACATGAAGAGGATCATATTGTTTTATATTTTCTTTTATATCCTAGAAATTTTCCATGTCAGTTTATATAGACTTATGAAATTATTTTAAATATGTAAACTCATTTTCCATACCATGGATATAGCATAATTTATTTAACTTTCTTCTTCTTGATGGACTTTGAGATTATTTTCATTTTTTTCCAAACTACTTTGTACTTTCATTGTAACATTTGTCTTTAACTGTCTTAGCCAATCTGAGCTGCTATAATAAGTTTCATAAACTGAGTGGATTATAAAGAACAGAAACTTATTTCTCACAGTTCTGGAAGCTGGGTGTCCAAGACCAGGGTGCCAATATTGTTCTAGAGAAGGCACTCTTTCAGGTCAGAGACCCTCATTGTCTTCTTGTATCCTCACATGACAGAAAGAGGGAGTCAGAGATCTCTGGAGTCCCTTGCATAAAGGCACTAATCTTATTCATGAGAGCTCCACCCTAATTATGTCCTGAAGGCCCTCTACCTCCTCATACCATCACATGGTATAGGACTAAATTTCAACCTATGATTTCGATGGTGAGCGCACAACCAGTCCATTGCATTAACCCATATATTGTTTAAGGTGCAATTTTTAGTGTCCATATTTCTGGAAATGAAAGAAAAAATGTATTTTAAAAAATATACATTCATACTGATTTCAGGTGATAAGAATGCCATAAACATATGTAGATACCAACATGGATGTGTCTAGAGATATATGAGTGAAAGTAACTTGCAGAATGACATATATAATCTAAGACAATTTGCATACAATTTTTCAATGTGCAAAATAACAATATACTTAATATTTTGAAAGATTTTCAATTTTATATATATATATAAAGATTTTTTATTTATTTGAGAGAGAGAATAGAGAGCATGAGATGGGGAAAGTCAGAGGGAGAAGCAAACTCCCTGCTAAGCAGAGAGCCCAGTGTAGGACTTGATCCTGGGACTCTAGGATCATGACCTGAACTGAAGGCAGTTTCTTAACCAACTGAGCCACCCAGGTGCCCCTCAATAATATATTTTTAAGGGGACACACACATATATAGCAAAATACAAAAAGGATGTATGGGAATGAAAACTTCAAATGTAAGGTAATGGTTACCCTGAGGTGGACAGAGTTGAATGAAGTGGGGAAAAGGTTCACAAAGAGTTTGTTTGTTTGCTTCTTTCTTTCTTTGAGGGAAAGTGGGGGGGGGGCGGCAAAAGGAGAAGAAGAGAGAGAATCTTAAGCAGGCTCCACACCCAGCACAGAGCCCAAAGCAGGGCTTGATCTCACGACCCTGAGATCATGACTTGAGCAGAAATCAAGAGTCAGATGCTTAACTGACAGCTACCCAGGCACCCCAAATAGTTTCAAAACTGTACATTTTTTTTAATTGAAAAAGTAAAAATATACCAAATGGGATAATTCTGACTGGCTGCTGATAGTGAAAAAAGCTATAGTTTTTATATGATGTTATTGTACTTGATCATATATTAAAGTGTTTTCTTGGTTTTAATACTTAGCCCATTGATATTTTTGGGTTTTCTAGGCAGATCATTCATTTCAATTCATTCCTATTCTTACATCTTTTCTTTTTTTTTTTTTTTTTTAGCAGCAGGGATATGCAGCCATCTTGCCTTATTCTTTACTCTTTTTTAATATTTTTAATGAGAATAGTGTTATTACATCTTTTATTTCTGGGATACATCCTATATAGGGATATAACACTATTCCCTTTTTTTACAGCATCCATTTTTTGCTTGTTCTTTATTCAATCTAGCCATGTCTGCCTTTAGACTTTTAGGAACTATTAATTTCTGATCCATCAATACCATTTCTACTTTGTTTTCCAGGGATATTACAGATTTAAAAAAAAATCATTTCTTGGAATTTGGATAGCAGAGGAAAGCTGAATATGTGCATAGTCTGCCATCTTGAATGAATGTATAATTTTATTAGTAATAAGGAATTAACAAAATAATTGTAAACTTTAATGTGCTAGCCACCCAGTTTATAGCAGCATTATCTACAATAGCTAAATTATGGAAACTGCCCAAGTGTCCATCAACTGATGAGTGGATAAAGAATATGTGATAAATACCCTGGAATATTACTTAGTCATTAAAAAAGAATGAAATCTTGCCATTTGCAATGACATGGACGGAACTAGAAAGTACTATGCTAAGCAGAATAGGTCAACCAGAAAAAGACAAATACCATATGATTTCACTTATGTGGAATTTAAGAAACAAAACAAATGAGCAAAGGGGAAAAAGAGGGAGAGAGAGAGAAAGAGACAAAGTAACAACAGACTCTTAACTATAGAGAACAAATTAATGGTTACCAGAATGGAGTTAGTTAGGGAGAGTGGTTAAATAGGTGATGGAGATCAAGGAGTGCACTTGTGATGAGCACTGAGTATTACATGGAAGTGTTGAAATCACTGTACTATATACCTGAAACTAATTACACTGTATGTAAACTAACTGGAATTTAAATAAAAACTTCCAAAAAATGTGCTAGCCACCCAAACTCATTCTCTGTCTCTAGAAAAATGGACTTTTAAAAAAATCTGTTGTTTGGGGGCGCCTGGGTGGCTCAGTGGTTAAAGCCTCTGCCTTCGGCTCGGGTCATGATCCCAGGGTCCTGGGATCGAGCCTCACATCGGGCTCTCTGCTCAGCGGGGAGCCTGCCTCCTCCTCCTCTCTCTCTCTGCCTGCCTCTCTGCCTACTTGTGATCTGTCTGTCAAATAAATAAAAATCTTTAAAAAAAAATCTGTTGTTTGAAGAAAGAAAATGGACTCAAGATGCAGCATTCAAAGTTTTGGTTTGACCTAATATTTTCACATTAGCAATGGTGGTTGAACCCTGGGGTGACTTTCTGAGAAATGACAGGGCACTTATCTCTGGAAGATTTCATTCCTAGTTTGTTGAATTTTTTTTTAAACATAAAAGGGTATAGAATTTTGTCAAATGTTTTTTCCACAACAACTGAAATTTCTTCCTTCATTATGTATATATATATATATATATATATATATATATTATTTCTTCTCTTTTTTTTTTTTTTTTATGGACAGAGATCACAAGTAGGCAGAGAGGCAGGAAGACAGAGAGGAGGAAGCAGGCTACCCACTGAGCAGAGAGCCCGATGTGGGGCTCGATTCCAGGACCCTGGGACCATGACCTGAGCCAAAGGCAGAGGCTTTAAGCCACTGAGCCACCCAGGCGCCCCCACTGTCTGATTTTTGTATGTTGCACCACCTTTGTATTCCTGGGACCAATCCCACTTGTTCACGGTGTACAATCCTTATAATATGCTGCTGTATTTTCTTTGCTAATATTTTGTTGAGGATTTTTGCATCTATATTCAAAAGGAATATTGGCCTGTAGTTTTCCTTTCTTGTGAGGTCTTTGTCTGGCTTCTTTATTTGGGTAATACTGGCATCACAGAATGAGTTAGGAGCTATTTTCTCCTTGTCTATATATATATATATATTTTTTTTTTTTAAAGATTTTATTTATTTGTTTGACAGAGAGAGATCACAAGTAGGCAGAGAGGCAGGCAGAGAGAGAGAGAGAGAGGGAAGCAACCTCCCTGCCGAGCAGAGAGCCCAATGCGGGACTCGATCCCAGGACCCTGAGATCATGATCTGAGCTGAAGGCAGCGGCCCAACCCACTGAGCCACCCAGGTGCCCTCTCCTTGTCTATATTTTAAAAGAGTTTGAGGACTGGTGTTATTCTTTAAATATTTAGTTGAATCTTCCACTGAAGCCATCTGATCCTAGGCTTTTCTCTGTTGAAAGTGTTTTGATTGTTGATTTAATATCCTTATTTATTATAGACCTATTCAGATTTTATGTTTCTTCTTGAGTCAAGTTTGATAGTTGGTACGTTTCTAAGAATCTGTCAGTTCCAGGTAAGTAACATAATTTGTTGAGGTGCAATATTTCTTAGTATTCTCTTATAATCCTTTATTCCTGTGAAATAAGTAGTAACACATGCACTTTCATTTCTAATTTTAGAAATTTTAGTCTTCCCGCTTGTTTTTCTTAATCTGTCTAGCTATAGCTTTCTTAATTTTTGTTGATTATTTCAAATAACCAACTTTTAATTTTTTATTGTAGTAAAATATACATAACATAAAAATGACCATTTTAACCATTTTAAGTGTACAGTTTTGTAGCAGCATTAAGTGTGTTCGCATGGTTGTAGAATCATCATCACCATCTTCCTCCAGAACTATTTAAGAGATTTTATTTATTTACTTGAGAGAGAAAGAGCATGAATGGGGGAAAGGGCAGAGGGAGAGGGACAAGCAGACTCCCCACTGAGTGGGGGACCCCCCCCAATGTGGGGTTCGATCCCAGGACTCTGAGATCATGACCTGAGCTGAAGTCAGATGCTTAACCAACTGAGCAACCCAGGCACCTCCAGAACTTTTCAAAAAGTGTTTTTTTTTTTTTCACTTACAAAACTGAAACTCTGAACCATTAACTATTAACACACCTCCCCATTTCCCCTTACTCCCAACCGGTGGCAACTACAATTCTACT